CGGCCGCAGCCGGCGCAAGACGGCTGCCGATGGCGGCGGCGACAGCGCGGCCGCCGCCGAGTCCCCCCGCCAGGCGGAGACCGAGGAAACGGCCGCGGAAACGGTGGCGGAAACGGCCGAGGAGAGCCGTCCCAGCGCCCTCAACGCCGCCGCGCAGCGCTCGGCCGAGGCCGGCGCCGAGCGGGCGCGCAAGCGCCGCGGGAGCGACGACAAGAAGGACTCCGGCGAGTCCGACACCAGCCGCCGCACCGCGCCGCGTCAGCGCGCCGAGCCGCGCCCGCTGCCGCCCGAGGCCCGCAACACGGCCTTCGGCGACGACGTCCCCGCCTTCCTGCTGAAGCCGGTGCCGCTGGCCGCCAACGGCTGACCGGGCGGTCCCCGCCCCAGCCGTTCTCGCCCCTGCCCTTCTTGCCCTGCCCTTCTTGCCCCTGCGGACACGCGCTGCGCGTCCCAGGGCCGCGAGGAAACAGTGTAACCCCCTGATTCGGGGCGAAATTCCCAGGATCGGCGGCAGCGTGCCGCGGTTCCATAGGATCACGACCTGCTTTAGACTGTCGCCATGCAGACGATCTTCATTCACATCAAGTGCGAGCTCGGCCGCGCCTACGAGGTGGCCGACGCTCTGGTGCAGGACGTGGAACAGGTCTCGGAGGTGCACTCCACCTCCGGCCAGTACGACCTGCTGGTGAAGTGCTACCTGCCGCGGGACCTGGACATCGGGCACTTCGTGAACGAATCGATCCAGACCCTGCCCGGCATCAAGGACACCTTCACCCTGATCGCCTTCAAGGCCTTCTCCTAACCGGCGCCTTCTCCTAACCGGCGCCTTCTCCTAACCGGCGCCTTCTCCTGACCGGCGCGTCCCGCAGGCCGTCGCCGTCGCGGTGCCCGCGGGACCGGCGGCGCGGCTACTCGAAGACCGCGCGGGGGAAGTAGAGCGAGACGACCCAGTTGGGCTGGTCGACGATCTCGCTGATCCGCAGGTCGGCGCAGACGCTGCAGAGCATGTAGGCCTCCACCGCGCTCATGCCGTGCTGCGCGGTCAGCCGGTCGATCATCGCCGACAGCGCGGCCCGCGCCCCCTCATAGAGATCCGGCCCGACCCCGGTGGTCACCTCGAAGCCCTTGGCGTCCTTGTGCCGGCTGACCGGCCCCGGGGTACGGAACTGCGGCGCCGGCAGGTCGGCGCCCTTGACCAGCTCCAGCTTCACCGCCACCGCCATGGGGCTTTCGATCGCCGTGCCGCAGACCTCGCCGTCGCCCTGGGCGGCGTGGGTGTCGCCCAGCGACAGCAGGGCGCCCGGAACCTCGACCGGCAGCAACAGCTCGCTGCCGGCGCTGAGGTCGCGGATGTCCATGTTGCCGCCGACGCGGCGCGGCGGCACCACGCTGTGGGCCCCGGCTTCGGCCGGCGCCAGGCCGATGGTGCCGGCGAAGGGCTTCAGCGGTACCCGGCCGCCCGGCCCGTAGAGCGCCGGGGCCAGGCTGTCCGCCTCGTAGCGCCAGATGTGCAGCGCCGGGTCGGGAAACTGGTCGGCCAGCAGGCCGAAGCCCGGGATGTTGGCGGTCCAGCCCCAGCCCGAGGGCGCGTAGTTCAGCAGGGTGATCTTCAGCGCGTCGCCCGGCTCGGCGCCGTCCACCTGGATCGGCCCGGTCACCGGGTTGACCTTGCCGAAGTCGAGCGCGGCGAGATCGGCCAGGCCGCTGTCGGGCGAGAGCTGGCCGCCGGAGGAGTCGATGGTTTCGATCTCCACCGTCTCGCCGGGCGCGACCCGTAGCTTCGGCGCCAGGCTGTTGTCCCAGCCGAGGTGATGGTCGTGGCTGTGGATGGTATGCGCGCAGACCGTCTTCATTCTTCGCTCCTCCTCCGCAGTCTTCCCGTGCCGCCGCTTACCGGCCGACGGCGTAGCCCTGCATGAAGCGCGGATTGGCGCCGGCGCGCAGCAGGTCGCCGTCGCGCGCCGCCGCGGTGACGCGGCCGATCGCCCAGTCCTCGTCGACCGTGACCTCGTGGCCGCGGCGCTTGAGCTCGGCCACCGTCGCCTCGGGGAAGCGCCCCTCCAGCATCAGCCGGCCCGGCTGTGCCTGGCGCGGGTAGAAGGAGCTGGGGAAGTGGGCGCTGTGGAACTCCGGCGCCTCGATGGCCTCCTGCAGATTGAGCCCGAAGTGGACATGACGCAGGAAGACGTTGAGCGACCACTGGTCCTGCTGGTCGCCGCCGGGCGTGCCCCAGGCCAGATAGGGTTCGCCGTCGCGCAGCGCGAAGGAGGGCGTCAGCGTGGTGCGCGGGCGCTTGCGGGGCGCCAGCGCGGCCGGGTGCCCCTCCTGCAGCCAGAACATCTGGCCGCGGGTGTTGAGCGGGAAGCCGAGCTCCGGAATCACCGGCGAGCTGGACAGCCAGCCGCCGCTGGGCGTGGCCGAGACCATGTTGCCCCAGCGATCGATCACGTCGACGTGGCAGGTGTCGCCCCGGGTCGCCCCGGTGGCGGCGATCTCCAGGTTGTCGAAGCGCGCCACCGTCGGCTCCCCCGCCCCGCGGGCCAGGTCCTGCTCGCTCACCGCCAGCTTGGGCGGCGCCGCGCCGAAGCCGGGAATGCTGCCCGGCCGCAGCTCCAGGGACGCGCTGGCCGAGTCGACCAGGGCGCAGCGGTCGCGGTTGTAGTCGGCCGACAGCAGGGTCTCCAGCGGCACCTCCACGAAGTCGGGATCGCCGTAGAAGGATTCGCGGTCGGCGAAGGCCAGCTTGGCGCACTCGACGACGGTGTGCACGAAGTCGGGATCGCTCGGCGACAGCCCGGAGAGGTCGAAGCCCGACAGCAGCGCGAGCTGCTGCAGCGCCACCGGCCCCTGCCCCCACGGGCCGGTCTTGCAGACCGTGTAGCCGTGGTAGTCGAAGGTCAGCGGCGCCTCGACGCCGGCGCGCCAGGCGGCCAGGTCGTCGCCGCGCAGCAGGCCGCCGTGGCGCCGCCCGCTGGTGTCCATCGCCGTCTGCTCGCGGCAGAAGCGGTCGATCGCCTCGGCGACGAAGCCCTCGTAGAACACGCGCCGCGCCGCCTCGATGCGGTCCTCGCGGGTCTTGCCGCCGGCCTCCGCCTCGGCGACCAGGCGGCGCCAGGTGGCGGCCAGCGCGGGATTGCGGAACAGGCTGCCGGCCGCCGGCACTTCGCCGCCCGGCAGGAAGACGGCCGCCGAGGTCGGCCACTCGGTCTCGAAGAGCTCGCGCACCGCGGCGATGCCCTTGGAGATGTTGGGCACCAGCGGACAGCCGCGCTCGGCGTAGCCGATGGCGTAGGACAGCACTTCGGCCAGCTCCAGGGTGCCGTGGTCGCGCAGCATCAGCATCCAGGCGTCGAAGGCGCCCGGCACCACGGCGGCCAGCAGCCCGGTGCCCGGCACCGCCTCCAGGCCGAGCGCGCGGAAAGCCTCGATGCTCGCCTCGGCCGGCGCCACGCCCTGGCCGCAGATCACCTCGACCTCGCGCTTGCGTTCGTCCCACAGCAGGATCGGCACCTCGCCCGCCGGCCCGTTCAGGTGCGGCTCCACCACCTGCAGCACGAAGCCCGCGGCGACGGCGGCGTCGAAGGCGTTGCCGCCGCGCTCCAGCACCGCCATGCCGGCGGCGCTGGCCAGCCAGTGGGTCGAGGTGCAGACCCCGAAGGTGCCGCGGATCTCGGGTCGGGTGGTGAAGTTGGGCATGGGCGTCGTCTCCTTCGTTCGTCGGCCGCGTCCGCCGGCCCGCTTCCGCGCGGTCTGACGGACGCCCGCCGCTGGCTGTTGCCGGGGCCGCGCGGGCACCCGGGGGATCAGGGGTTTCCGGCGGTCTCGCGCACGTCGAGGAAGTCGCGCAGCGCGTCGCCGAGGAAGTTGATCGACAACACTGTCAACATGATCGCGAGTCCCGGGAAGATGCCGAGCCACCAGGCGCGCGAGATAAAACTGCGCCCTTCGGAGAGGATCAGGCCCCAGGTGGGCGTCGCCGCCTCCACGCCCAGGCCCAGAAAGCTCAGGCTCGCCTCGGCCAGGATGGCGTAGGACACGCTGACCGTCGCCTGCACGATGATCGGCGCGGTGGCGTTGGGCAGCACGTGGCGCAGCATGATCCGCAGGTCGGAGGCGCCGACCGTGCGCGCCGCCTGCACGTACTGCTCCTCGCGGATCGACAGCACCATGCCGCGCGCGATCCGCGCGAAGTCGTCGATAAAGGCCAGGGAGATGGCGATGATCAGGTTCCACATCCCGGTCCCGAACACCGCCACCAGGTAGACCGCGATGATGAAGTTCGGAAAGGCCCACTGCAGGTCGATGTAGCGCATGATGACCTGGTCGACCCAGCCGCCGCGATAGCCGGCCAGCACGCCCAGGAAGACGCCGACCACCAGCGCCAGGGCCACGGTCGACACGCCGATGAACAGCGAGACCTGGGTGCCGACCACGATGCGGCTGAGCAGGTCGCGGCCCAGGTCGTCGGTGCCCAGCGGGTGGGTCAGGCTGGGCCCCGCCATCATGTCCAGCGTCATCTCGTTGGGATCGAAGGGCACGATGAGCGGCCCGAGCAGCGCCAGCAGGACGAAGAGCGACAGCACGGCAAGGCCGAACAGCGCCTTCTTGTCCGCGCGCAGCACGGCGCGCAGCCGGTCCCAGCGGGTCTGGCGGCGCGGCGCGGCGTTGGTATCGGGAGTGGTGTCGGGAGTGAGCGCCTGCCGGGTCATCAGTCGTACCGTATGCGCGGGTCGACCAGGGCGTAGAGCAGATCGACCAGGAGATTGGAGAAGACGAAGATCGCCGAGACCACCAGGATGGACCCCTGCACCACCGGATAGTCGCGGTTCAGGATGCCCTGGATCAGCAGCCGCCCCAGCCCCTTGATGGCGAAGACGTTCTCCACCACCACGGCGCCGGCCATTAGCAGCGCGAAGGCGATGCCGATGACGGTGATCAC